CGATGTGGGGCACAGCCCTGACGGGGGGGTCATGCAGCTGGGGCCCGGGGGGGGGACAGCCTGGGCGAGGCCGCCATGCCCCCCCCCCCCCCGCAGCTGCCGGGCCCCCCTGGTGGAACAGAGGGGCCTGGCTCGGAGGAACCGGGGCAGCTGCTCGTGGCCCCCACAGGCTGGTCTGGGATGGGGTAGGCGATCCCTGGGGAGGGAGGCAGAGCCCCCCACCCCGTGGCTCAGCCCCAGCCCGGAGCGCCCCCCCCCCGGCCGCTCGCTGTGCCCCCCCCCCCCCGCAGGGAGCGGCCGGCCGCCGGTGCTGAAGGCGGTGGGGCTGGCTCTGTGGTGGCGGCGATCGCCTGCCGCCCCCGCGGGACGATGGGGGGGGGGCGGAAGGGGGCGGCAGGCCTGGCCCCCCTCGCGAGGGATCTGCCGGGGAGCAGAGGGGGAGGGAGGGGGCTCGGCCCCCCGAAGGCACGGCGGGGGGGCTGGCCGTGATTCCAGAGCACGGAAGCCTCCCCCCACAGCCCGGGCGGGCCCCTTCCCCCACTGTCCAGCTCCCTGCCAGTTACAAGGGCGACCCCTCCCAGCGAGGGTGGCTCGCCCAGCCATGGCTGCCCCCGTGGCCCCGCTTCCAGGGCTGCGTGGGGCTCCGCAAGGCCGGCACCTCGCTCTGGAAGGGGGCACCAGGCACAGGCCGGGCCCCTGCCCTGCGGCCCGGAGCCAAGCCCCACAGCGGGATGCGTGCGTGTGCAGCGGCTGCCCCGGGGCAGCGTGTTGGGCTGGCCTGGCGAGCCCGTCCTGCGCTCACGCAAAAGGGGCATGGCCGCACGCTGAGGGCCTCGCAGAGTGAGGAGGGGCTGGAGCCCTGGCCGAGGGAGAGGCAGCCCCACACCCGGCCCCGGCCCCCTTCACTCCGTCCACATCTGACAGGTTAAATAGCTTTGCCTCTTCCAGTGCAAAAGAAAAAGCGTCTTGATGGCATTGCCGCCTTTTGTCACCTTGGCTTTCCTTTAAAAGTTTTTTCGCAGAGGGGAAAACTTTCATATGCATTTCCATGAGTTTGACCGACGGTTTTTCACTTCACTAATCCGGTTCCTTTCCTGGTTGGGTGCCCTGTCTCGTAGCCATCTGAAAGTGCTGTGGGCATAACCCCCCGACTTCAGCCAAGCGTGGTCCTCAATGGCACGGCTCCAGTGGGGTGCGGGGGCAGCAGGTGGGGTGCTGCGGGGTTCAGTCCTGGCGCAGTCGGTGCTCTTCGACATTTTCTTTAAAGACTTGGGTGAGGAAGTGCAAGGAATGATTATCCAGTTGCAGATGGCACAAACCAGGTGAGATTGCGAACGCCTGGGAGACTCGGGATCTTGATAGGCTGGACAACCTGACTGCAAACAACAACAAAACCCAGTAGGCACACAAGCCCAAGTTCTGCACCTAGGAAAAGACACCAAACGCATCGTTTCGAGACGGAGAATACTTGGCTCGACGATGCTGCGAGGGAGAGGGGCCTTGGAAGGGTTGCAGATCGCAGGCTGGAGATGAGCCAACAGTGTGATGCGGCTACAGAAAGGGCAAATGCTATTTTAGCTGGCATGAACAGAAGTGTCGTTTCCAATTCATGTGAAGTCCTAGTTCCCCCCTCATGCAGCACTTTGTGAGTCCTGTGCCCAGTTCTGGGCACCGCAGTCGAAGAAAGATGCAGACAAGCTGGAAGGGGCTCAGAGGGGGCCACAAGTATGACCTGGGACTGGAACCGAAGCCCCAGGAGGAGAGATGGAAGGAACTGGAGAAGAGCCGACTGGGGGCCTGAGGCTGTGGGCTGCCCCACCCTGGAGGCATTCAAGAGGCAGCTGGACAGAGAGGTATGGCTTACCTTGGAGTCCTGCGCTGGGCAGGGGGCTGGACACGAGGGCCTTCTCGGCCCCTTCCAGCTCTATGGTTCTATGAAACTAGACCTGCCCCACCTGGGCCAGGCTTCCGGGATGCGAGCAGCCAAGCTCCTAGCAGCAGGCGAGCACGGAGAGCCGGCAGGAGTTTGGCAGGGGCGTCTCCAGTGCGGGAGAGCCCACACCCTCTCCAGGCGGGTGGCTCCACTGTCATATTGCTTTGACAGGTGAGGAATCTCTTCAAAAAGCAACTTGCCAGCATTTCGGAGAAGAATGATATAGTCATCACGGGGGACTTCCGTTTCTCTGATACATGCTGGGGCAAAATTTCTGCCAAACATGGCCCCTCCAAGAGATTCCTGACATGTGTTGCCGACAACTTCCTCCAGAGGCAGACCGAAGAAGCGACGAGAGGATCAGCTATCCTCGATTTAAAACTAACAGAGATAACCGTGGACAAAATAGCAGCCGCGGGAACCCTGGGGGGAAGTGACCATGCGATGCCTGAATTCTCAAAGATAAAGGAGACGAAGGTTAACTGCAGCCAAACATGCACCCCGGACTTCAGGAAAGCCAGCTTTGAAGAACCCACGGCCACTCACTCGTACGGGAAAGGGAGTCCGAGAGAGCTGGAAAAGAAGATTCTGCAAGCACTGCTGCAAACAATTCCAACAAGAAAAAAGCAGAGGAGACAGCCGAGGAAGCCCACGTGACGCCACGAAAAGGTGAGCGACAGCCTGAAAGGAAAAAAAGCAGATCTGCAGAGGTGGAAGCAGGGCCAGGCCACGAAGGGAGCAAAGAGCAAGGAACTGCAGGGACGGCATCAGGGAGGCTGGAGCGGGAAATGGACTAAGAACAGCGAGGGATGCTAAGAAAAGCAGGAAGGCCTTCTTCAGCACCATCCGGAACAAAGGACGTGAGGAAGAGGAGGGTGTCCAGCTACTCAGAGTGGGTGGCAGAGCGATAACAGGCGACAGGGAACAGGCAGAGGTGCTCAGTTCCCACGTCGCCTCAGTCTTCTCCCACAAGGAAATCAACAACAAAGAGGAAGTACAAGCTGGATGTGAGAGATGGTCATAAGAGGGTCATAAGAGAGCTGGTGGAGGAACTCTCAGAACCACTGGCTATTCTCTTCGATAATCTTGGGAAACAGGAGAAGTGCCAGACGACTGGAGAAGGGCTTTTTAAAACAGACACTGTCAGGGCAATTCGGCAGTGGGACCAGCAGCCTGGAGAGGTGGGGGGCTCTCCCCCACTGGAGACATTCAAGGCGAGGCTGGACAGGAATTGGTGTCCTGCACCAGCAGAGGGTTGGGCCTGATGGCCTTCCTGGCCCCCTCCAACTCTACTGTTCTAGGATTCTGTGATCCTGTGATTAGGGAAGGATGCCAAAAGACAATTCTTGCAGTGAGAAGAAAGAATAATCCTAGAGGGAGGACCGAAGAAATGCAATTGCTAAGAGCAGGGGAGAAGCCGACCGTGGCAGTAACAAGACCCAGAATCCCGAATGCAACTTTCCCGCAGTATCACCTAGAAGCAAAATCAAGGTACTGCAATTGCCCGTGCCGGGAAATGGACCGGAACAGCAAAAGAGGAAAAATGCAAGACCTCTTTCAGAACAACCAAGGTATCAAAGAAAGTCCAAAACCTAGAATAGGAATGCTGAAAGACCAAGAGGGTCCTTCCTGTCCAACCAGGAGAAAATAATGGAAGTGCAAAGAAGACTCCGAAGAGCTGCACAAAAGAGGGAATCCTTCAAGCGAGAATCCTGTGCGGAAGAGCCGGCTCTGAAAGCGCCTGGAAGGAAAGAACCAGGCAGAGTAGAGAGGGTGCCAGCAGATTATTCCAGGCTGCAGAGACCGACTCAGTCTAAACCCTAACAAGAAAATGCCAAGTACGGAGAACAAAACCATGGCCCACGCGAGAGGTTCGATATATTTTCTGGTCTCCGAGGAAGGAGATGCCCATAGCCCCCGTTTCCAAGCAAGCCAGGTGATGCTCAAGGTGTTGCAAGCAAGAATTCATCCCTGTATGGAGTGGGAAGTGTGTGACGTTTCCGTAGGCAAATGCATTGGACAAAAGGGCATTTTATCTCCCTAGCTGTATGCAGAAAGCTGGTTTAGAATCCGAGGAAGGCGTGGAAATTGGCAGAAGATGCATCAATATTTTAAGAGAAGCAGATGACCCCACATGACTGGCAGAAAGCAGCAGTGCCTTGAAGCGGCTCCTGGTGAAAGGGAAAGAGGACGTGCGAAAGCAGGGCTGCAGGTGAATAAGAAGAAAACAAAAGGCATGAATTCAGTGGAATTTCAGAACTTCACGCTCGACAATGAAGAAATTGAAATGGTGAATGATTTTCCATACTTTGACTCAGTCATAACTGAAAGGGGGACTGCGAAGACGGAGACTTGGAAGGGCAGCCGTGAAGGGACTAGAAAAGAGCATCAAGTGTACGGATGCGTCACTGGAGGCCCCAGCCAGCATCACCCGCCCTCTTGTACTCCTGACGGCTGTGTATGTGTGTGAAAATTGGACAGTGAAGGAGGCTGCCAGGGAGGCAGCTGATGCCATCAAAATACCTTGGACTGCCGGAAAGACAAGCAAGTGTCCTAGACCAGATCAAGCCACAACGTATTCCGGAAGCCAGCGTGTGCCTCAGGCCCCTTCCAACTCCACTCCTCCATGATGCCATGCTTGCCCAGAAGCGGAAACCAACCGTGGGGCCCTTTGGGGGGCCTCCGCCTGCAGCACTGTGCTGGGCAGCTCCTGGGGGGGGGGGCTGTGCCTGTCCGCCCTCCCTCTGAAAGGGAGCAGGCTAAAGCCACCCCGCAAGGCCGCCGCGGCCTGGGGTGGGGCGGTGGCCAAGCTGTGTGCCCCTCCGGCGCTTCCTTTGTGCCCCGTTTGCCTCATGGGAGGAAGGGGAGGAAAGCCCCCCTCCGTGCCCTCCACATGGTTCGCTCCTTCGGGCGAACTCGGGGTCCCCGTGTCCTGCACGCAGGTGATCGCTTTGACTCGACTCGGAAGCCGTTTTCTGGAGGGCAGCTCAGCCCTTCTCCAGCCTAGCGTCTGTCGGCCCGTCGCCCGCCGCAGACCCCTCAGTTCGCCAGGCCCGCTGGGCTGTCCGGACGCTTTGGGCCTTGCAGCCTGGCAGCCCAAGTGCTGGAAGTGCGCGCCGGTTCTGCTGGACCATTTCAGCGCAGTGCGCCGTGCTCTGTGAAGGCGGGTGGCGGGAGGCTGAGCGGGCCGGAGCAGGGACCCCGCGAGCCCAGGCACTCTCTCTCCCGCACAGGCTGCCCTCGTGGGGGGCACCACCATGGTGATCGGGCACGTGCTTCCGGACAAGGATGCCTCGCTGCTGGACGCCTACGAAAAGTGCCGCGGCCTGGCCGACCCGAGGGTGTGCTGCGACTACGCCCTGCACATGGGCATCACCTGGTGGGCGCCGAAGGTGAGGGGGCTGCAGAGGGTGGGGGAAGCCCGGAGCTGCCTGGGCCGAGCCTGGGGCCGGGCCCGCCTTGCCTGGCGTTGGCTGGCCCAGACACGTCCAGCCTTTCGCCCAGGCGTCCGGTGTGCTCCCACGTCCTGGTGTGGTGGCGGCGCCGGTGGCTGGGGGGGAGCCCAGCAGAGCTGCTGGCCCACGAGCTGCGTGCCGATGGCTCCCAACCACGGGGACCCCAGCTTTTTGCTGGCCCCGGACCACAGCTCCCAGCACCACCACCAGTGATTGGCCGTGCTGGTGGGAAGGCCACAGGAGCTGCAGTCCACGGGCCTCTGTGGTCAAGGACCACGGATGCGGCAGGCTTCAGGCAGCGGCCTCTCCCAGCAGCCGCAAGAGATGCAGGGCTGCGACCTGGGAGGGAATGTTCTGCAGACAAGACCGGTGTGCCGCCCCCCTCGATGGCCTGAGCTCCTGGGGGGGCCGTCCACGGGTTCCTTCCCTCGATCCTCTTTCCTAGAGCCCTTTGGGAGTGTCAGTGGACACGTGGATGGGTGGCCCAATGGACACGGCTTGCTTGGACTTCCAGACGGCTCACCACAGGCTCCCGAGCAAACTGAGCAGTCATGGAATAAAAGGGAGGCCTTGGGGGGGAGGGGTCCTCTGATGGGTCACTCCGTGGAGCAGCCCCCCTTTGAGGAGCGGCCAGGGCAGCGGGGACTGCTCCCCTTAGGAAAGGGCGAGGAAGAGGAGACGTGGCGGAGGCGTTCGAAACAGTCCACGGTGTGGCAAAAGTGGAGACGGAGACGTTTTTCCTCCTCCCCATAATATTAAACCCCCGCGTGCCTGAAGTGCTGCGTGTGGCAGAGCCCGGCCCTGATCCAGCAGGGCGGCTCTTACGTTCTCAGACGTGCCACGTGAGCTTCGGATCAGGGCTTTGGACGGCCGGGTCCTTGTCCCGGTTGCCAAATGCTCTGCCTGGGAGGAGGAGGCTCGGCTTCGGCTTCGGCACGCCAGAGGTGCTGGGCGTCCGGGAGGGCAGCCCTCGATGCCGGCGGTCCGGACTGGGCAGCGCGACGTGCGACACTTGCGCCGCTCCTGCTCCGGGCCGCCGGGCCGTGCGCGTGGGGGCCGGGCCCCTCGCAGCCGTGCCGGGCCGTGCCGGGCGGGCCTCATGGCTGCTCCGTCGCTGCCCCAGGTGAAGGCTGAGATGGAGACCCTGGTGCGGGAGAAGGGCGTCAACTCCTTCCAGATGTTCATGACCTACAAGGACGTGTATATGCTGCGCGACAGCGAGCTCTACCAGGTCTTCCGCGCCTGCAAGGACATCGGCGCCGTGGCCCGCGTCCACGCCGAGAACGGCGAGCTGGTGGCGGAGGTGAGCGGCTCGGGGGAGGGCAGCGGGGCCGCCCAGCTGTGGGCCTGTCCTGGGCACTGCCCCTCCGCCAAGCGCCCCTGGCATGCCCCATGTTGGGAAGGGTGCCAGGCCTGCGCCTCGCGGAGCTGCTGCCCAATCTGATCCGTCCTGTCCCGGCTCCTTGGAGGTCCCCGCAGGGCCCCCTCGCCCGTGCTCGCGGGGAAGCTCCGGGAAAGGGGGTGTGCTCCGCACGACCGGAGCACCCGTCTCCTTTGTCGGCCTGGCTGCGGGGTGGCACCAGAAGGCTCGGCACCTCCCTGGCCACTGGCCTTGGCTCACGGCCAAGCCCCAGGGCCCGCAGGAGCAACAAAGACATGCCCCCTGTTGGGGCGCGGCGGACTCACCCCCCACCCTGCTTCTTCCCACAGGGGGCCAGGGAGGCCCTGGACTTGGGCATCACTGGTCCAGAGGGGATTGAGATCAGCCGGCCAGAGGAGGTAAGGCTGCCCCCACTGGAGGGCAGGCAGGGCCTCGGGGGCACTGCCACCGCCGGGAGGAGGGGCTCCCTCTGCTGCCGGGGCAGGGCAGAGCGGAGGGAGCCGGAAGATGCGGAGGACGCGGGCTGGGCGGGCACTGCTTTCTCGGCCAGAGGCCGTGTCGGCAGCCCCTGCCGGAGTTCGGGGAGCCGTTCCGAGGCGGTGGAGGCTGGCCGTGGCAGGGGCACCCCCAAAACAGCCGGAGCAGCGCAGTGTGCGCTTGGCCCGAGGGAGCCCCGGGTCCCCCCGTCTGCGGCCCGCTCGGTGCCGGTGGCCAAGGCGCGCTGCCTCTGCCCTTACTGCCATTGGGGTCGCGGGGCAGGGAGCGGCCAAGGACCCGTTGGAGCACGTGGGCCCCTGCCCCGGGGCCCCCGACCGGGCCGGCTCCGGGCTTCATCTGCAGGCACACGAGTGTCACGTGGTAATCCGTAAGCTGATCGATAAATCCCTCTCGTGCTCCATTTGCAGCTGGAGGCTGAAGCGACGCATCGGGTCATCACCATCGCGAACCGGGTGAGCAGCCGCCCACCCGACCCCACGTGCGCGGGCCCCCGCAGCTGCCTCCTGCCTGCCCCCCACTCCTGCACGGGCTGCCCAGGGCAGCTGCAGGGGGGCCGTGGCCCCCCACGGGCCTGACGCCTCCCGTCCTCCTCTCTCGGCAGACTCACTGCCCGGTCTACCTGGTCAACGTCTCCAGCATGGCGGCCGGAGATGTCATCGCTGCGGCCAAGATGCAAGGTGGGGCCGCCCCCCGGGCCCTGGGGGCGGGCCTTCTGCGGCACTGCCCTGTGCGAGGGGACAGCCCATCTCCTTGGACGCCTGGAGGGAGGGTCAGGACCCGGCCCTCCCCTTCCCACCAGCTGCCACAAGGAGTGGCCGGCATCATCGGCGGGGCCTGGCCTGGCCTGAGAGGGCCCGGCAGAGGTTTCTGTGGTGGCTGCGCACGGCCAGACGGCTCCGGCCACCCACCCCGCCTCTGCTGCGGCCCAGGGCGTTCCCGGGGGGCTCAGCCCCCAGGCGCCCCCTGAGCACCCTCCGCTTTCCTCCCGCAGGGAAGGTGGTGTACGCGGAGACCACCACGGCCCACGCCACGCTGACGGGCCTGCACTATTACCACCAGGACTGGTCCCACGCGGCGGCTTACGTGACTGTGCCGCCCCTGCGGCTGGACACCAACACCTCCGCCTACCTCATGAGCCTGCTGGCCAAGTAAGGGCCCCCGGGGCGGGGGGGCGGGGGAGCGGCTGCCAGCGGGAGGCTCGGGCGGGGGCCGGGAGGGCAGCTGGGCAAGGGGGGAGAGGGGCCAGCCCACCCCCGCCACCCACCTCTCCGCCCCCTCCCCCCAGCGACACCCTGAACACCGTGGCCTCCGACCACCGGCCCTTCACCAGCAAGCAGAAGGCGCTGGGCAAGGAGGACTTCACCAAGATCCCCCACGGCGTCAGTGGCGTGCAGGACCGCATGGCCGTCATCTGGGAGCGCGGCGTGGTACGTGCGGCCGTGGCCGGGCGAGGGGAGGCGAGGCAGGGGCCGGCCCAGAAGACTCGGCTCGCCTCGCCCCGACCCAAGGGCAGCTCTCCGAACGCGCCACAGCAGGCTGGCCCCGGGATGAGGGGGAACCTGCTGTCAGTGTCTTTTAGGGGGGCAGGTGTCCCGGCAGGCCGGCCGTGGTTTTGGGGACCCTGCTGGCCGCACGGTGCTGCACCCCTGCTGGTGGAAAGGGCCACGGGGCCTCCGGGCACGGGGGGCAGTGGCAAGGGGGCCCTCGGGCCCGCGGGGAGGGCAAGCAGTGGCCGATGGCCGGGAAGGCATGCGGCTTGTGCCCCGTGTGTCGCATCAGGCCAGCCCAGGGCGTGCCTGGCTGGAGCCCGAGGCGGCCTGCTTCCTGGGGGCCGGAGGGGGGGGGGGACTCGTGGTGGCCTTCCTTCTGGCGGAGGCCTCGAAGGACATGCCAGGCTGTGGGGCGCGTGCCCCATCGGTGGCCGTGCTGCAGAAGGGGGGCGGTTGCTCTGGCCGCAGAAGCAGAGGCCGTGGCCAGGTCCCACCTGCACGCGAGGGAGGCCTCCTGCAGCGGGCCCCCCCAGCGCTGAGGAGCTGCCCCCCCGGGCAGGCCGCCCTTCCCCAGTGCCACCTCCCTGTTCCTAGCTCAGGCCTGCTAGCCCCACACCCTGGCCCCAGCTGCCACCGCCCTCTGGCAGGGGCTGGGTGCCCGTGCCCAGCCGGCAGCCTGGTGCCGGGATGGACCCCCCTCGCTTTTGGCCCCGCAGGTGGGGGGCAAGATGGACGAGAACCGCTTTGTCGCCATCACCAGCTCCAACGCCGCCAAGATCCACAACCTCTACCCTCGCAAGGGCCGCATTGTCCCCGGGGCCGACGCGGACGTGGTTGTGTGGGACCCTGAGGCCACGAAGTACGTGGGGGGGGCTGCGTGGCGGGTGGGAGGAGTGCCGTCGGACTCGGTCCCGTGGCGCGTTTGTGGCCCTCCCCTCATGCGTGACCGGTCTCCCCAGTCAGTCCCCGAGTGGCCTCCGTCGGTGCCCCAGCAGCGGCCGCAGCCGGCATGAGGGGCGCTGCCTGCCCAGCATGGGGGGCTCATTTCCCAGCGGCTGCCGGGGGCGCTCGCCAGGCGCTCGGGCTCTCGGATCGCTCGTGCATCCAAGCCGTGTGCTGTTCTGCCGCACGGCCTGGGCTGTCGGCCTGGGACCGGGAGCGGAGGAGTGCTGCCAGGAGGCACGAACGGGGGACGTCTGGGTGAGCCAAGCTGGGCTGCCCATCCGGCTGCAGTGCAGAAACAGGGCCCGCTGCGGGGCGGGGGCTTCCCGTGGGATTGCTGGCTGCTTTGATTCCCGCTTGGGTCAGTGGGAGGTGTGTTTCGCTGGCTGCCAATGCCTTCGCGCTCCACTTGGACCCAGGCCCCCAGAGGGGCAGGACTCGGGCTCAGCGATGCTTCTGCCAGCCTGACTCACGTGAGCAGGGCCTGCCGCCGCCGCCGAGGCGTGAGCGCCGAGCGGCATATTGCCGGGGAGGAGCGAGCGAAGGGCAGACCCCTCAGTCGCGCTTCCGGAATGCCACTCGGGCTCAGTCCCCGGAGGGGTTGTGGCCCCTCGGGAACGATGCCCAGTTAAAGGGGCAGGTGGAGCTGCCCCTTTAGCGTCCCCATACACTGTTCGAGAAAGAGCCGTCGGGGCGGAGCGGGGGTCAGACCCGATGGCCCAGGAGGCCCCCTCTGCCCCCGTGTCACTGCCTGGTGTGGAAGTGGCCCTTCTGTCCTCACGCGGCACTTTGCACTGCTGCTCTGGGATTGGGACCCTGGGCGAGGCTTTTACGAGCCGACCAGCTGCAGCAGGCCTTCAGTCCCGTTCCAGGGATCCTTTTTTTACTCACAAAATTTTATTTCAAAAGAGGGTTGACACCATAAAGGCGAAAAGAAAACAACATAGATGGTAGCATTAAAACACCACTGAAGATGATGTGAATTCACTTCTTGATAGCCGATATGTTTGTGCCCTATCTGCAGCAGTAGGGCCTCAGGAGGAGCTGACTGTCTTGTATGAAAATGAAACTACGGTTTAAACAGCGTGGAAAGGGCTCGCGCGATGATGTGCCATCTTCGAAACCCCCCAGCAGCTGCGCCACTCTGCGCTGGGCCTGGCTGACCAGGTGGCAGAGATGCTGGGGGGGCGTGGGTGGCTGGGCAGGTTTTGTGGCTCCCCTCTGCCTTTCCCCAGAGCCCCCCCCACACACTGGGCTCCTGGGAGGGACCCGGGCCACTGCCCCACGGGCGCTGAGTGCCGCTGCTCCCCCCCAGGACCATCTCAGCCAGCACCCAGGTGCAGGGGGGCGACATGAACCTGTACGAGAACATGCGCTGCCACGGCGTGCCACTGGTCACCATCAGCCACGGGCGCGTCGTCTACGAGAACGGCGTCTTCATGTGTGCCGAGGGCACCGGCAAGTTCTGCCCACTCCGCTCCTTTCCGGACTCCGTGTACAAGAAACTGGTGCAGCGAGAAAAGGTACTGCAGCGGCTGGCCGGGGCTGGAGGGAGCCCCCAGCACCCCTCCCTGCCACAGCCGCGGCACCAGGCTCGGCACCGCCTGGGCAGGATGGCGGCAGTGGGGCGGGCGGCCCTTTGGGCTGCTCCGAGGAGGTTCTGAGGGGGCCAGAAGCCCGCCGTGGGCAGTGCCATGCGGAGGGCCCCTGGCAGGAGGAGGAGGGTGCAGAGGGGGTCTGCCGTGGGGCTGGGGCTCGCCCCCCGGGAAGTGTGCCGCTGTCCAGAGCTGGCACAGCAGCAGGGCTGGGCTTGGCGTCGGAGGGGGACGGGGACGGGGACGGGACGGGACGGGACGGGGAAGGCTGCTCCGGGCAGGCGCATGCCCCGCTGTGCCTGGGACTGCGGCGCGAGTGCAGAACCGGCCCGGCGGGTCGTGGCTCGCTCTTGCGCAGCCCTTTTGTCCGAGGAGCAGCACCGCTCCAGGCCCCCACCGGTGGGGCGGCGATGCCTGGGGGCAAGGAGGGCGGGCCACTTCCCTCCCGTGCGTGGCCACCACAAGCCGGGAGGACGGGCGACGGGGCAGGCCGTCTGGGGGGCAGCCAGCCAGGAGGGAGCGGGCCGTCAGCCGCCGCTCTGAACCCGCAGCGCTCCGCTCTACGCAGAGGAGCTCCTGTCCGAGGAAGACGGCTGGCCGGCAGGGGCCGTGGTCCGGCTCTGCCGCCGTTTCTGCGAGTGCGCCCCTCGGCCATGCGGTTGCGCGCGCCTCCGCAGGCCCCCCGCCAAAGCCCCGGGGCGAGGCTGTGCAGGCGGGAGTCTTGGGGGCCGTGGGAGGCGAGGAGAACCAGGCAGGCGTGTGAGGCAGGGAGCCGGCGGGACACGTGTGGGAGGGGAGGGCAGGGCAGGAAGGCAGAGCCCCGGCACGTGGCAGGCTCTGGCGGGCGGCCGGCAGGCAGGGGGGTCGGGGACTCCTCCTGGGGAGGGCAGCAGGCGGGCCTCCCGGGCCCAGCCGGATCTGTGCCCTGCAGGCCGGAAGCTCATGCCCAGGTGGGTCGGCACAGGCGCCGTGGGCACCTGGCGATCCGGCACCCCGGACAGGGCAGCCCCCCATTGCATTGCCCAATCCCCCCAGCAGCCGCTGTCTCCCCCCACCCCAGTCTCCCGAGTCTCCAGGGGGAGCACTTTGGGGAGGGGCCGGCAGTTAACTTTTATTTGTGTATTCGCTTTGATTAGAGTTTAAAGCTTAAGGGCGTGGACCGCACCCCATACCTGGGGGACGTGGCCGTGGTCGTGCACGCCGGGAAAAAAGAGACGGGGACGCCACTTGCAGACACCCCCACCCGACCTGCCACGAGGCACGGGGGCATGCGGGACCTCCATGAGTCCGGGTTCAGCCTTTCCGGTAAGAAGGGGCTGGAGCGGGGCTTCTGTGGGGAGGACGCCAGAGTGGGGGGATATGCTGCCCCTCACCCCACGCCAGCTGCAGCCCCCGCTCTACCCCGCCCCGTCTCTGCCCCCCACAAATCCCCCACCCCAGGCGCCAGCCTTGCACACAATTTCTCGCAGGAGGCCTGGACAAACCGGCCGTCCCTGCCCGCCCTGCAGGTTAGCAGCCCTTCCCTGCCGGGACCGGGACCGGGACCGGGACCGGGACCGGACCAGGACCAGGACCCGCTCCCTGCCCCCTCGCCTCCCCCCATTCTGCTTCCGTCACAGCCCAGGCCCCCCTCGCCGCCTGCAGGGCCAACCCTTCCTGCCTCGCCCCGCCTCGCCTCGCCTGCTGGGCTTGGGTAGCCGTCCTGCCGGTGGGTCTCCGTGCCAGTCAGGGATGGAGAGGAGGGGGCCAGAGGGGAGCAGGGAACCGGGCGGTGTGCAGGGCCTGGCCTGGCCTGGCCATGGCGTTGCGCGAGGGTCGCTTGGCTGCACGTGGGTCACACGTTCCTTAGCGGCTGGTCTGAGGCCGCTTACAGGAAGAAGCACCGCTTCAGCGGGACAGATTTGCGTAGTAGCAACTCGAAGAGCAGTGACGCCCGCTCTGGAAGCCACCCAACAGTGGAGATGGAGGAGGCCAGCCTGCCCTGCGTCCCTGGGGAGGAAATCGCTGGGCAGCCCCCCCCCCCCCCATTTCATTGCTATACTGCCCGCAGCGGCAGCTCCCCGGAGATGCGCAGCCGCCCGCCAGCCGGAAGGTCCCCTGGACGCAAACGGCCGCGGGTGGCATCAGTGCTCTAAGCGGGCCGAAGATGCGGCGGCTCCAGCGCTGGCCCAGAAGTGGCAAGCTCTGGCCCGTGCCATGAGCCCTGCTGTGGGAGCAGGCAGCCGCGCTCGTGCGCCTGCAGGCCAGCCTGGAAGCGCCGGTGTGCGCCGGACGAGACGGTGTGCGCCGGACGAGATGCAGCCAGCTTTCCCTCAGAAAGGCCTCCCTGGTGGGCCTGTGAGGCTCTCCAGCACGGCGCTCCCCAAGGCAGAGACAAGTCCAGAAGTCTCCCGAGAGGCGGACGAGGTCCTGCGGGGCAGCGCGGACACGCGAGCGGCCTTGGGGCCTGGTGTGGAGCTGGAGGGGGGCAGCTCCCCTCCCTCCTGGTCCAGGCATAACCCTCCTCTCCAAGGCCGTGGGGTGCATGCCCTGGGAAGCACCTTTGGACACCAGTGGGGGGGAGGGGGGACCTGTTTGTGGTCTTGGCCTCAGCCGAGGCTGAAAGGCCCCGGGGTGCAGAGTTCCCCGCAGCTGCTCTGCGCATTACTTCGGAAGCACGCGTGCTGCTTGCGCCCATGCGCCTGCTGGCCCCCACTTCCCACACTGGCTGGCTGCCGCACGTTCACTGGTGTGCCGTGGGGTGGGGCCCACGCCCGCACGTGAGGCCCGTTGGGTTCAGGGGCCCCGTTCTGTGGGATCCACCCTGCAGTGCAGGGCGCAGGGGCCTCGGGGCAGGAGCTTGTGACGGGGCAGTGAGAATCCCTTCTGGCTGGTCTTGCGGGGGGGGGGGGCAAGCGGACGGTCCGCTCTGTCCAGCCCAGAGGTGAGGCTGCTAGGCTGCCTCTCTCCACTCGGTCACCCATTCAGCTTGCCTCGCTTATTGCCGGAGAGGCGGCGACCGAGGCAGCCTGCCTTAGGAAATGTGAAAAGCTCCCTTCACACGGAGCCAGTCCAAAGGAATGGGCCAGCGGGACCACCCTGAAGCCCGGCTCCTCGTGGGCCGGGGGCCTCTTGTGCCCGGGAAGCCCGCTGCAAAGGCGGAGCAGGGCCCCCTCGGCGGTCTGGGCCCGGCGGGGCGCAGGGGGAGGGCACGGGGCGGCCCCGGGCCACGCTTCCCGCCCTCCCCTCCGGCCACATTCTCCTGCCTGCTGCTGCGCTGCATCCTCTCGCTTTCTCTTGCCAGCCCACGCCGCCGCCGCCACCGCTTGCCCACCTGCTGGAACTTCTGGGGCCTTGCTGCATGCGGGGGGGGGGGGGGCTTAAAAGAGCTGGTGCCTCTTTGGGAGGAAGGTGGGGGCGCTGTGCCCCGCTCCCTGGGCTCCCTGGGGGGGCGGGACGTGCCCCACGGGTCCCCAGCCACCTCTGACCGGCCCCCTCCCTCCCGCCTCTCTCGCCGCAGGTTCTCAGATCGATGACCATGTTCCAAAGCGAGCTTCGGCCCGGATTCTCGCTCCCCCCGGAGGCAGGTCTAGCGGCATTTGGTAGCTGCCCCGCTGACCTGTCCCCCAACTAAGGACGCCATCGCCCCCCCGCACGCCTGGCCGCCACCCGCGCCCTCGCGGCAGCCACGCCTTCCACCGGAGCCACCACGCCGGCAGCGCCACGCGGCCCCACAGGGATGAGGCGGGGGGCGTGGCCGAGCCCCTCCCGGCCCCCTCGGCCGCGGGGGGGGCGGCTGGCCGGGGAGGGCGCAGGGCCGGGGGGCCGGGCCTCGCCTGTCCCTTTCCGTTTTGCACGTTGGGTTTGGATGAGTGGCATTTTGACGTGTTTGTGCTGAAACGAAGGTGCTCTGTGTATCTAGCAGTAGGATAGGGGGAGGATGGGCTGGGTGGGGGGGCGGGGGGGCCCTGGGGGGCAGGCGTGGGCCGCCCCCTCACCCGGCCTCCCGCCCGCTCCCAGCTGATGCCTGGGGAGGGGGCACCGCTGGGCAGGCGCTCCTCTTCTTCCTGCGTCCCCCAGGCAGGGCTCCCATGGGTTCCTGGCACACAGCGCCCTGCTTTAGACTGGGGGGGCAGGAGCAGGAGCCCCCCCACGAGCCAGCCTGGGCCCGAGTGTCTTCCTTGCCCTGCTCGGGGCTGTTTCTTCAAGGAGCTGGAGGCGCCCTGCCCTCCCGCCCATCTCCAAGCCTCCAGGCTGAAGGGCCAACATGGGGCTGCTCCTTCCCCATTGCAATCTCGGCGCCCCCCAATGGCAGCTGAGGGACGGACGGGGAGGGGGCACGAGCCCCTCGGGCCCCGTGGAGGAGCAGCCTCCGGGGCAAGCGGACCCTCGCAGTGACAGGGCCTGGGCGGGGGCAGGAGGAGCAGGGGCGGCCGACCTGGGTCCTGCCCAAGGGGCTGCTGCCCCGGCCTCGCGGGCCAGTCCCCTGGCTGGTCCCGGGCTCAGGAGCAAGGCACGCCCCCCATCGCAGCGGGGGCAGGGCAGCAGGCCTCCCTCCTCGACGCCGGGGGTGGGGGGTCCCCAAGGCTCGCCGGGGTGCTGAGCACGGCCCCCCTCCATTCCCCGCCCCACACGGCGGTGCTCGCCCCACCCCGTGCTCTGCCCACCCAGACCTCCCTCTGCAGTAGCGTGGAATGTGAGCTTTCCCTTGTGCACTTCCCCCCACTAGTCGGTCCCCGTAGGTTTGTGTGGCCGGGTGGAGCAGCGCGACGGAGTCCCAGCTCCCAGGACCGCAGTGGAGGCCTCGGCCTCGGCCTCGGCGCGCAGCCAGCCCTGCCCCGGTACATGTTGAAATAGTCTTGTAGTGGCCGTTCGAGCACCTGCAGTGCATTTCTGTTTTCCCATTAAAGATGGTTCTCACTGTACACAGTTCCTGCCTCGTGCTTCTGAAGCAGCCTCCCAGGGTGGGTGGGGGGGGGGCTTGGAGGGGGGGCCCGGCCCCCTGAGGGCTGCTGGGCAGAGCGGCCCTGAGAGACTGGCCCACCCTTGCCGATGGCAGCGCTTCTGGGGGCTTGGGGGGCCCATCTTGCTCACCCCGCTCGTGGCCTCCACAGACAGTAGTGCCTGCCCCCCGTACCCTGTTCATTTGGAAAGCATGTGCCCGTTCCCAGCACAGGAAAAGCACCTGCCTGCTTCCCCGAACGGATTCCCGGGCATGGAAGGGGGCTTGCTTGGTAAGAAGGCCAGTTGCGGCAAAGTCTAGAGCACAGCTGAGGCTGAGTCCGGCGGGTCTGTGCCTGGACACGCGGCCGGCCCGCCGCAGGGGACGTGATGCGCCTCTGGAATCAGCTGCGTGCACACAGATTCGGTGGTGCGAGACGTGGCCGGGTCCCAAGGTGCTGCCCCAGGGCCAGTCGCTCCGTGGCACCATCCACGTCACACGGACCTCTCTGGGCAGCTTGCTCTGCGGAGGACGGCCTGCCAGCACTGGCCGCCTTCCTCCAGGCTGGCCTGGGGTGGGGCAGGGCGCAGTGTGCCGCGGCTCCCAGCTCGCCACGGCGCAGGCCGGCACGCTGAGTCAAAGCCCGGCAGCCGCTGCCGCTCGGCCAAAAGGGCTGCCGCCACCCAGCATCGCTCGGTCGTCTTTCTGTAGATAAACACGCCTCGCCCGAGGCCTGGCAGGCCGCTGGTTCGGGAGCAACAGCTGGCCACCAAGGCGCTGTTGGGGGGGCCTCCTCCTCCTCTGTCCCCCACACGCCCAGAACCAGGAAAAGAAGGGGGGCTTTGCGGGAGCTGCCCCCGGGGCTGCTGTTGCCTTCCCCACGAAGGCAAGAACCCCCCTGGGCTGGGGCAGGACGGGATGCGGCCGATGTTGCCCGTGCAGCCCCCGCTCACTCAGTGGCTCCCGGCACCCCAGAGCCAAGGGAGGCACCAAACGGTGACCCAGACTCGGCGACCCGAACATTCTGCATGGGGGGCACCGCAAGACGAGCCTTCCACTTTGCCGGTGCCTTCAGACAGTAGGAGGGCCCGGCAGGTGGGGCCAGGTGAACACAGGTGGCTCTGCTGGGGCTGCCTGGGGGAGAGACTGCCCCTCCTGCCTCCGAAGCTGATCCGGGCCCAGAGATGGGCAACAGCCACGTGCCCCCTGAGGGTGGAGGGAGAGCCTCCTGCCTTCCCGGGGTCCCAGAGGGCCCAGCCCCTTTCCTCGACCCCCATCACACCGGTTTCCTGGCACTTTCCCCACTGGTTTTAGGACTGGCCTCCCCCACAGCAGCTGCCCTGCCAGTAGCCAGCTTGGTGGCCCATTCACGCCGGGGCTACTTTCTCAGTGCCAGACCAGGATGCTTCTGCTGAGCCAGTCACACAGACACCCCAGAGCTGAGAGTGAGGGAAGGGGAGTCCGGACCTCCGTTGCTTAGCAACCAGCACTTTCCGTGCAGGGCACCTGTTCCCTGGTTGCACGGCAACTGCCAAGGGCTTCCTCCCCCAGGAAGTGGCCACAGTCCCAGCCCGGACTGCAACACCGTGATGGTGGTGGAGGAGACTTGTCCCCAGGGTGAGATGCGGTGCCAGGGGGCAACTGGGAGGCCTGTAGGGGCCCCGGGGCCCTTCATGGGGTCATGCAGGTGCGCCCCTCTCTGGGGCTCTCTGCCTGTTCTCAGTCATGGCAGCGCCTTCTCTCTAGCTGCTCTCCCATGCCCTGCTGCCCACGGCTGGGACGCCTACAGGAGGGCGCGGGAGCAGGGCACCGGCATGGCACAGGTCGGGGGACTTACCACGGCAGGCAGACTCCGGCTCTGGGTTGGCCTGGGATGCAGGGGCGCTCACCCGGCAGCTGTCTTCATGAGGGCGGCTCGCGTTAAGCACTCCCGCGGGAGCCGCTGGGTGACCGGTTTGGTTTCCCTGGCCAGGGCCTCGGCGCAATGAGATGCCCGCGCCTCGCGCAGGAGGCAGCGGCATGCGCATTCCTTGCAGAGCGCATTCCTGCGCGCCCGACGCCCCGGCGCTCCGCCACCCCGAGCTCGAGCAGCCAGACGGCACCAGCGCCCCGATGGCGGGGCATCCAGAAGGCGGTCCCGGCGACGGGCCAGCGCGTCCCCGGCCCCCCACGCGCAGCTCAAGGGGCGGCCCCTCTGCCCGCGGGGTCGCGCAGGGGCATCGGGCCGGTCCGGCTGCTGCTCCGCGGGGCGCCCGCCGAATCCGAGCGCGGCGCGGGGGCTCCCTCCCGCCCGGCTCCCGCGGCGCATCGACAGCCTCTCCGTCCCGGAGGCTCCCGCGG